CAAACTACATTTATAAAATTAATTCTCAAAACTAAATCTATCATAAAATCAACAATAAATTAATTTTTCAAATTTTGAAGGCAATCCAAATTTCAAAAATTTAATGGAACCCTACAAAAATATTTCTCTATAATATATTTCCTGATATCATCTTCATCCTCTCAAATTTACCAAACACACATCTTCTTAGTTTTCGAGCAATCTAAATTTTTTAAATATTCATCAACTCTTTTACAAAGATGTATATGTGTTTGTTATTTAAGTTACGTTAGAAAAGAAATTGTCGTCTTTAATTATTTTACGGGTAAAACGAATTCCGATACGAAAAATCGATTATTGGAATATAAAACGTTTTTTTAAACATGTTTCATAATACACTAACAGATTTTGGATTCCGGATAATAATACAATAATTTTTGTAACTAAGACTACAATGCACTTATTTAATTGTCATTTCATCCCGCACATAGTGCGGGTAATTTATCTAGTACATCATTATAAACCACACAAAATGATAATTAATATATGATTAATTTCTTAAAAAAACAACAGAAAATAAGAGGATGAGTGTACCAAGGCAACGTTGATGTGCTCACTCCCATACCTTTTAAACCACACAAAAAGATTAGTTTTTGTAAGGTCTCAAGTCACAAAGGTAAGTAAAATGGCAGCCATTTTTTTATCAACTTTTTATGTTAAGAGGTGATGTTTACTCTTAGCAATGAAATGGATATATATAGAGAACATATACGATTAGGGTTAGATGTGATTCACGATTCCAAAAATCTTTGTGAGGAAGCAAGATTTCATGGATTAATTATAATTGGCTAGAATTAGAAAACTTAATAAATGATAATTAAATTTGTTAAAGAATCAGTTCCAAAAATCTTGGTGAGAAAGTAGAAATTGTTTTAGTTATGAGACATTTCTAATTCGTTTAGTTGGATTTAAAAACAAATTTATGTAGTTCATTTTATTTATGAAAAAAATATTAAATGCAATAAAATCCTTAGCATTAAAATAGGAAATCATTTGATTAGCAAATATTTGTTTGTTATAACTACATATACGATTGATATATTTCCAAAATCAATCATTTAATTTTGTTTGGATTTTATAAAAATGTTTCAAATAAAGAAAGATCCGACTAACTCTAATTCCGGATTTTTTTTAGAAAGTCTCAAATAACAAAGGATCCGAATGACTCAAATCCGAGTCAAAATCCAGCTCAAACAAAAACCCTGACCCGCAGTAAATGAGCAAAAAACATCGATAAAAAACTTTAAATGATTTATTGTTTGGTTCTATTTTAGATTGTACACATACTTTTTTTTTATCGATTGAGTAATATATGCCTGTTTTAAAATTTTGAATCACATCATATGCAAAAAAAAATTAAAATTTTATTAACTATATATCTTTTATGATAATTCAAAATAATATAAAAATAAGATCAAATAAAAGTGAAATGAGAATATATATATATATATATATATATATATATATATATATATATATATATATATGTTTAAATTAGGTAGAGAAGTTTTAAGAAATTAGCTTAAATTTGTTATATTAGCAATAAATCATTATATTTGCAAAATATTTTTGGTTTTGCTAAAAACTTAAAGGAAAGATCCGATTGAAGATTTCCGAAGTCAAAATCAGAAAAAACCTAAGAAATCTTTCTTCTTACCGAGTAAATCTAAACCTAGAAAGGAGTCAAAAGGACGAAGTCGTTCGCAGCACTAACATCTCGTGTCCAAATCTAGTTTGATTAACGATTTTGCAGCAGTATATATTTCCAGGTATATTCTAAATCACCAATTTCGATACTTAATTTTGAAGTTAGTATATTTATAAATCGCTACAAATTGGTTCTAGTTCAACCAAAACTAGTAAACTTGATTCAGTTCCATTTTCAGCTTGTCGTTATGGAGTGTGCCTCAAGCGACGTCAATGGTTTGACAAGCTGGGCAATGCTGGATTTGGAAGTTCTCCACTGCCCTATTTGCTTCGAGCCACTCACTATTCCAATCTTCGAGGTTGCTTTTCAAATATTGCATAATTATAGATTCATAATATTTATAGAGAAATATTTTTGTAGGGTTCCATTAAATTTTTGAAATTTGGATTGCCTTCAAAATTTGAAAAATTAATTTATTGTTGATTTTATGATAGATTTAGTTTTGAGAATTAATTTTATAAATGTAGTTTGGATTTATGAACCTAGGAAAATTTGTACTTACAAAAGTTATAAAAATATATTCTAATTTATTAATTTACATGAATTATAAACTTATATGTTTGAATTGTTAAATATATATATATATATATGTGTGTGTGTGTGTGTGTTAGTCTGGATTTAAAAATATAGACCTTAGATCAATTTAATATATATATACATATACACGAATCCTTTATGTATAGATAGAGATATGATGTTTGTATTACTGATGTTTAATGTTAATTAACGAAATAATTAGAATATCATGGCACATTTGTAACCAATCTAGTAATATATAGACCATTAGTTTGCTCGATTTATGAAATAAAAAATGTCTGTTTTTAGGGCTTAGCCCGGCCGGGCTCGGATCGGCCCGAAAAGCCCTTAAAAAGAGATTTTAACTATTTTTTTTGTAAATATTATTGTTTAATTAAGAGATTTGTTTAAAGATTTTTTTTAATAGAATTAAAAACCCTAAACCTAGTTTTCTAATTGTGTCTTACTATAAGTGTTATGATTTTATATTTTATTTAGTGTGGGTTTAAACAATTTATTTGGATTATTTATTTGATTTTAAATTTTTTTAAAACTAGATTCACTTTAGTGGGTTATTTAAGTTTTGTTTGACTCGTTTTATACTTGGTTTTTTTTTTTAAGAGATATTATAAATTAGAAGGGTTTATTTTTCTCGAAAGAAAAGCCCAAAAAAGCCCGTAAAAGCCCTGTTAGGGCCAAGCCGGGCTTCAAAATCTAGGCTCAAAATTTTTACGGGCCGGGCCGGGCCGGGCTGGGCCGGGCTCAAACATATGCGGGTTTTGCGGGCTTCGGGGCGGGCCGGTCCGAGCCCGGCCGGGCTAAGCCCTAAAAACCCTTTAGCCCAACGGATTTAGCCCGAAATGCCCGATTCTTTTCTGGACATATATTTTTAAGTCCGGGCCCGCTATTTTTCAGGGCTGGGCCGGGCTAGCCCGCGGGCTTCGGCCCTAATTGACATGTCTAAGTCTCATACATCCATATATCCCACTTATCAAAAACAAATTTCTAGTCTATACTATATAAAAGTCAAGGCTATAAGCTCTTAAAGGCGTCCACATATGATTTTAAACGATCAATCTCGGTTAGACATCTCGCTGATTAACATATTTTGATTATGATAATTTTCTATATTAAAGTTTTGTCTAAAAAGAAAAGAAAAACAGTAAGAGAAATATTTGAAAATATAGAAATATTTCTAATTATATTAATCTTGTGTTATTTGAAAAGATAGAAATATTTCTAATTATAATCAAAATGTCAAGTTTAAATTTTTATAGAAATATTTCTAATTATAATCAAAATGTCAAGTTTAAATTTTTAAAGATAATTAAATTTATAAAGAAATATATGTAAAGAATAGAAATGTAAACTTTTGAAAAACAACATATGGAAATAAGAAAAGCAATATATACAAGAAAACAAACGTAAATTTTTGAAAAACAATATATGAAATACGTTAAACTTATATTCTTATTTTGTTAATCTTCTAATTTTCCAACAAAAAATAGAATATTAACAAAAAAAAACATATTCGATTAACTCTAGATCTTTTCAATATAAATAATAACTGGAGGCATCTGATTTGATTATAATTTTTAAGCTATAAATTTCAAGCTGTTAGTAACAATTAGGGTTGATTACTACTTTTAATGGCGCTTCTTTTTATATTTTTCATCGCTTTTGCCACTACTGGCACTTCTCTCTCTTTGTCGGGCTGTTTCTGTTTTATATTTCCGATAAACCCTAAAACATGTGTTTGTGTATGATGTTATATATGATTTGATGTTGTTTGCGTAAAACTTTTGGGTTTCAAGAACAAGAAGGATCGATGACAAGCATCATTGGTCGATGTTTGTACTCTTTCATATCGGTTATGAATCGTAAGACCTTGATTTGATTATTTGAGTTAATTTTTTGCTTTTACAGAAGAAGGATCAACAACAAGCACATATGTTTTATTAGTTATATATGGGATCATGTTCATGTTGCTTCCTCCGCAAGTAATTTACAATTTTGTAGCATTAAGGATTTTGGTTTGAAAAGTTTCAAAATGTGTGGATCTTAAATCGAGTATATATATGTGTGAAAGTATCAATAATTTAGTACATGTGGTGGCTATGCTGGTCTTGAATAACACAAATGTTATGAGAAAATAGGCAATTATTCTGGTCTTGGAGGTTAAAGGAGGTTCGTTGGGAAACAAGTTGTGTTACTCTAAGGTAAATTCTTTTGAAAGCTTATTTAGTGGTTCTAACGAATTCAGCATCAATTGCTTGTGCCCAAAAAGTGCCACATGCTAATAAATCTAAGGAAGTGGTGGTGGTGGTGGAAGTTGAGGAACATACATGTAAGACCATGCAAGAAATCTCTCTTGGAAAAGATCTCTAGGCCAATATAGGAAAAATTGTTTTACGTTAAAATGTGGATACAACTATGGCTAATAAGGTAACTTCTTATGTGATTCTGTTTTTTTTTTTAACTTAGGTTTTATATACTTTAGTTAGATGATATCTAACCAGGCAAAAAGGTATAAAGACTTGTGTTGAAATTGTAGAAAAAGTTGTTATTATTGGAGTACCAATTTCAATCAAAAAAGGGAATTGAAGAGACGTAAGAAAAGTAATACATTTAATTGATAAGAGTTTTCTTGCGTTATAAATAATTGACGTCATAATCTAGGTAGCAAAGATGGTTGTATTCCATGTAAAAAATGAAGGAGAAAGAGAGAAACGCGGATAGATTGGCGACCAGCGAGAGAGAGAGAGAGAGATAGATAGAGAGAAAGCCATTGTCGTGAGAAGATGTTCGATTGTGATATCATAAGATAAACTTGGATTATCATTCATGGAAAAGAAAAGTGAGAAAACAGTTATAACATGACCTTTTTATTGTAACGTTTGGTTCATATGTAGCTAAAACTTGATGGTGAGGTTTCTGGTATTATTGTCTTGAGGTTTAATGGTAGGATATAGATTTAAACGGATTTTTAGAAGAAAGCTTCTTCAACTTGTTCGAGAAGATTTCTTCTAAAGTTTCAGATCTAACAAGCAAAGTGGAGACATGAATATCCAAACGTACTCGGAATAATCTGAAATTTGGTAAGAGTATTCTGGAGACGTGGAATGAACTTTTGGTAGATAGGCGTCAAATTTCGAGTTCAGAAGGTCAAATGAACGACGTTGTTTCGGGTAGTTAATTCATAGGCTTATGGATCTATGTTTGGTTAATGTTATAAGTTTAAATTTGTTGCTTTATTTTTGACCACATAATAATAAATGTTTTACATAGAAGAAGATAGAGAGGATGAGGAAGAAAGTGAGGAAGAGGAAGAGGAAGAGTATAACGAAGAAGCGGAAAGTAACGGTGACGACGGCCATGAAAAATTGACAATGTAGATGACGAGAATGAATATGAAGAGTAAGAAACGATGAATGTGAAGAGAAAACGAAGACATAGGTGTTGGCGGCCAATTGAATATGAGAAAATAAGATTGATTCATGATTCTTTTGATAAGATTTTATTCTTAAACACTATTGATTTTTATAATTGTGCATTTGAACTGAAAATTTTGCTTTAATAGTAATTTAAAAATTATCATCAATCATATATAATTTTCACCAAAATATAACAAATAAACCCACGCGTAGCGTGGGTCCAAAACCTAGTCTATACTATATAAAAGTCGAAGCCATAAGCTTCTCAGGCTGTCCACCTAGGATTTTAAACAACCAATCTTAATTAGACATGTCATTATTTAGCATATTTAGATTTTTGAAATTGTCTATATTAAAATTTAACTAAAAAGGAAAATAAAAACCAATGATGTGGTTAAAAAAGAATTTTAACTTTTTCAAAAATGATGACAATTTTCTATATTAAAAGTTTTGTTAAAAAGGAAAAAAGCAACATATGGAATAATTAATATTTTTAATTCAGATTAAATAACATTTATAATTATAAATATTTTCTATAACATTTTTAATCGCTAATTAACATTTTTAGCCATCACCTCAATTGACATTTTCAAATTCTCATATTTTCTATATTGACATACTTGTGAAAAGGAAATCGAAAATATAGGAATCTTAAATATAAGAGAAGTTTTTGTTACAATAAATATTTGTAAAAAGAAAGAAACGCATAAAATGTTAAAATAGATTATACACATCTTGCCGATTTATTTTCCAAAAATGTTAATTTTGTGATGAGAATACGTGTATATAAGCATAATCTCTAACGGAAAAGAATAAGAAAAAGACACAAAACAAAGTTAAAAAAGAAGAAATATTGGTGTGGTAAAGTCAAAGAGCAACATGCATATTAGTTAGTATAGTTACCCTTTAACCTTCGTGATTGTTCTTCTGAACTCCATCTCGGCTATTATGATGCTTTGCTTCTGCGCCGAACTATGTGTCAAATGTTGTGTCCGCTAGGAAGAGTCGTCTGCTACAGTTAATGCGTGATCAACTATTAAGATAAGTTAGATTTTGGTTGGCTTTTTCTATTATTTTAAGATGAGTTAAGTTTTAGATTAGTAACCTAAAACATAGCAGACCGATACTGCGGTTGACCGTACCATCAAGAGAGCAGCATGATCAACATTCATAATAATATTGTTGATTCTGTCATCGAAGAAGAGCCAATCATAAAACAGAGCGAGCTTAGCACTTTGTTCGGTGTGATGATTTTGCCTACACAGTTCCAGAAACCTACCTATAGGCTATAGTTACCCATCTTGGCATGATCTCTTATCGGATGATTTCGTTAGTTCGGTGAACTACACAGCAAATGAATAGGACTATGTCGATCAAAAGTGTTTGTTTTTCAAGACCAGATAGAAATTTCGTCAAGAACCATATCTAATGCCGTTTCTGGCTTCCCAATCTCACATCTCAGGAGTGATCCAGAGAAGGACGTACCTACTTGAAGTCTTTAACCGATAAAACTGCGAAGTGTCAGAGTAATGGTTTGAGGCCTTATCGTTCCATATGTCTTCAAATTCAGAGACGTAAACTAGGTCCTGCAACAACCGGACAAAATCCCTTCCAATTTTCAAACTCAAGTGCAGAGTCTCTCTAAACATTCTGACACAGAATTTGATCTCCAGTCTCTTCACATGTTCCAGTTTCGCAATGCCTGAGACACTACAAGGATCGGCTAATAAATGAAGAAAACTGTACATGGCTAGGATATTCAGATTTAAAAAATACTATTAGTCTCATTAAATTTGAATAGGTTAATCAATCAAAAGATAGGTGAAAAGTTCAAAAAAAGTATTTAATCAAGAGGTACCTAACATGTTTACGTCTATTCAATTTTTTCATTTTATTTAAATATCGATTGATTTTTATGTTTTAAGTTTGATATTCGGATATTAAATTACTAAAAATGAGTAAAAATGTTTGAGTTAATTAATCGGTAAAATAGGAAAAAAAAAATACTAGTAAAATTGTATATGCAATGTCTAGGTTTATGATAATAATACTTTATTGAAACAAACAAAAAATAATATTTCTTATCTTAACAGTGATAAAATCTGTTGATTTTTAACTAACATGTTACAACTATATATAACAACGATTTTTTTATGATGTAAAATAAGCATGTCAATGGTTGTAGTTAAAGATCTTACATATTTGTTTTTCAAGTTAGGAGAGCTAGGGAAATCTAATTTCTTAAAGTTGTTCGAACAAAAGAAAGAACATCTTATCACTTTGTTTTACACAAACAAAATATTTTTGTTAGAAAACATATCTGATTTTTTTTTACGTAAGATAATGTAATAAAAATAAAAGAAAAAAGATGTGAAAAAGCATGTCGATTATAAATTTGATTTCCAAGTTGGGAGAGGTTGGAGGAGGTCTCGAAAGCTAAGTTCTTAAAGCTGTTCAAACAAAAGAATGAACAACTTATCAATTTGTGCCAACTAAATGTTAGAAAAAATATTGAAAATATTTTAATTGTGTAAGATAATGTAATAAGAAATAAAATAAAAAGATGTGAAAAGAACGTTGATGATGTATTATAAATTCTTACAAATTTGTTTTCTAAGTTGGTAGCGCTAGGAAAAGCTAAGTTCTTAAAGTTTTCTTAAAGTTTTTCGAACAAAAATATACAACATTTTATCACTGTGTGCCACCTAAACAAAAGATTTTTGTTAGAAAACATAATATATTGAATTATTGTTTAAGATAGTGTAATAAAAATAAATTAAACAAAGTTTTATTTTGCAATAACAAAATAAATGAAAGATAATATTTTAGAAACTATCATTAGTAGTATATGATTTTCTTCAAAATATTTAAAATAAATGCAAAAATGTTAAAATATATGACTCTAAATCTGTTTGATTAATAACAAAAAAATACTAATAGATAAGAGCGAACACAAGTATGCCCTAACGTGTACATATTTTGGTTGTTTAATTTCAAATATTTTGTCAAAATAATGTATTAATCAATCAAGAGGTAGTAGGCTAAGAAAAACAAAAAAAGTATAAAATATGTAAGACTTTAACTAATATGTGTGGAGGAGGTTCTCGAAGAAATTAAAAAGATACTAATAAACAGAATAAAACAGTTAAAAGTTGTTCGAAGAAATTATTTTATAAATTTTTTTAAAATTTTAAGTTGTTCGAACAACTTAAAGATCTTACATATTTTATACTGTTTTTATAAAATAAGTAAGAAACACATATTAAAAGATACTAATAAACAGTATAAAAACAATATAAAATTGTTCGAAGAAATTATGTGTTTTATATGATGTGCCTTCAAAGACTATATTAGTATCAATAGAAGGTAATTAACTAAAATAAGTAGAAAAAATAATAATTTATAATATAAAAAATTAATGATAATTGTTAATCATATATTTTAGATTTACATTATAGTTTTCTTAATGGTGTATTTGAAATATAAATTTTTCTCAAAAGTAATTGAAAAATATTTAGTGATGGAAACACTATAATACATCAGATTTCTAATATTATACCAACTTTGTCCTAAAGAATTTCTTTTCTTATTAAAACAAATTTGTAAACAACATAAATGATTCTAAGAATATAAAGAAAAAATAATTATGTTAAAAAGAATAAAAAAATAAATGATTATAGTACTTTTGTATTACTATATGTCAATATATAGCTACTAAAATATTTACTAAACCTGAAATTATATTAAAACAATCGATACAAAACTTAAAAAATTTAAAAAAAACACACAATCTATACGGGACAAACTTTATTATTTCTATATTAGCAAACACATAACAAAATGTTACATTTTTCTATATATGCATAACAAATAACAAATATGTATTATCTAATATTAACATGTGAGACATGCTACGTCCAAGCTTAAACTTAAAATCAAACAGACATTTTTATTTCATAAATCGAGCAAACTAATGGTCTATATATTACTAGATTAGTTACAAATGTGCCATGAATTCTAATTATTTCGTTAATTAACATTAAACATCAGTAATACAAACATCATATCTCTATCTATACATAAAGGATTCGTGTATATGTATATATATATTAAATTGATCTAAGGTCTATATTTTTAAATCCAGACTAACACACACACATATATATATATATATATATATATATATATTTAACAATTCAAACATATAAGCGTATAATTCATGTAAATTAATAAATTAGAATATATTTTTATAACTTTTGTAAGTACAAATTTTCCTAGGTTCATAAATCCAAACTACATTTATAAAATTAATTCTCAAAACTAAATCTATCATAAAATCAACAATAAATTAATTTTTCAAATTTTGAAGGCAATCCAAATTTCAAAAATTAAATGGAACCCTACAAAAATATTTCTCTATAAATATATTTCCTGATATCATCTTCATCCTCTCAAATTTACCAAACACACATCTTCTTAGTTTTTGAGCAATCTAAATTTTTTAAATATTCATCAACTCTTTTACAAAGATGTATATGTGTTTGTTATTTAAGTTACGTTAGAAAAGAAATTGGCGTCTTTAATTATTTTACGGGTAAAACGAATTCCGATACGAAAAATCGATTATTGGAATATGAAACGTTTTTTTAAACATGTTTCATAATACACTACCAGATTTTGGATTCTGGATAATAATACAATAATTTTTGTAACTAAGACTACAATGCACTTATTTAATTGCCATTTCATCCCGCACATAGTGCGGGTAATTTATCTAGTACATCATTATAAACCACACAAAATGATAATTAATATATGATTAATTTCTTAAAAAAACAACAGAAAAATAAGAGGATGAGTGTACCAAGGCAACGTTGATGTGCTCACTCCCATACCTTTTAAACCACACAAAAAGATTAGTTTTTGTAAGGTCTCAAGTCACAAAGGTAAGTAAAATGGCAGCCATTTTTTTATCAACTTTTTATGTTAAGAAGTGATGTTTACTCTTAGCAATGAAATGGATATATATAGAGAACATATACGATTAGGGTTAGATGTGATTCACGATTCCAAAAATCTTTGTGAAGAAGCAAGATTTCATGGATTAATTATAATTGGCTAGAATTA